ATACCTATAAAGTATGTAGACTTTTTGCCGATTCGTTTGACAGACAAATGGGCGCCAGGTAGGCTGATAATTGCAACAGAAAGAAGGCTCATGATTCCCCAAGTAGTTACTTCGCCAAGCTTCAAAGAGTGCGTGATGAAAAGAGTAAGGTTACCTTGAAGAAACTGAAAAATAAATTGTGTTGATCATATTACTACTATCAAAAAAGATAACCATAAGAATATAATCGATGATATGAAGACCAAGATGGTGTGGCCTTTTGTGTGGTCGCAGTTTTCTTTCATTGTATAGAAGTTGTTTGACCTTGTTTTCGCAACTTGGTCATATTATAAGAAGAATTAGAGGAACGCATATAGTCCGGTGTCCGTTTTATACATTATAATTTACAAAGTCAGACCGTGGACGTGGTACATTTCCAGACGTTTCGTCTACATCGTATTCAGCACCGCCAGTGAGTCTTGCCATTTCTAGCCCTATACTACAACTCATCAGAGACAAGTGAAGCCGATCCTTTGACCAAACGTATGCTAAACAATTGTGCTAACTATCCTTCTGTCCGGGGCTATTGATTCATCTCCCCTATATCCTCGTATCACGCCTCCGCTACCACAATTTTTCCCTGCTTATTTAAATCTAGTGTGGTCTGCCCTTTTGAACGGCCTTCAGGCCTCATTCAGCTGTAGAATCGGGCTATAATGCCGAGGTAGTCGAAGGGGTCAAAATGTACACAATAAGTGTCAGATTCAGCGTCGCTTCTCGGCTATAGACCAGCGTATTAGAGTGTCCTTGAAGCTCTATAAGCTGTAATTTAACCACAGCTAGTATATAAGACAATAAAAACGTAATTTACTCAGGATACAGAGCACTTTTTCAAATTTCAAACAAAAATTTAGATCTATATAAAATATCTTATCCAGTTTTTCAAGTAAGATCTATGAAATGATAACAAGATATTAGTCGCCCTGGGTTAACTGAGATTCTATGCTTAGGATACGTCAAAAATCACTGCTATTTATATAGAAATTGGGATTTCATAAATGGCGTGAAACATACGATTCTTAACATAATATATGCAACTATAAAAAACGAGGCCACACCATCTTCATCTTCATATCTACGATATAGAAAACGAATTTAAAATATAAAAATTAGCATTGGGACTAGAGCAAATCAGTAGTGAGGAATATGCAAATTAATAATTAAGTATGGTCGGATTTAAGGCGCCAATAATTTAACTATAAATGAAAATTTTTCATTACAGGCTGAGGTCATAATAATCTATTTTTACCTTTCTTGATCAACCAAAAATAATTATCTCATATACGCTAGCATACTACAAGTGAATCTGACAATGATTTTATTAATTTCCTTTCAAATCGGCATATAAAGCTATTTATGAACGGAGTAGGCTTTAAAAAGTTTTAAAGATAAAAGGGTTTATACATTGAGATTTAAATATGAAACAAAAATTAAGATATGCCCAGAATTCTACGCAATTCCAAAGATATTTATCGAATATTACAGCATAAGCCTAGAATTAATGTTTAAACAAATAACCAGACAAACCCACTTGCCTGGAGTCCAAGAGAGAGGAACATGAAGGTACCCATCAGCAATAGATAGGGGCGGAACGTAAGTATCATCCGCAAAGCAGTAAAGTAGCTTATCAGAGCTGACCCAGAGCTATCGTTATCAGCATCTACGCACCAGAAAGAGGCTCGACTTTCTTGATCAGAGATCGGGCCCGACGAGAGTCCCGAAGTAACTTCTAACTCAGAAAGGGATTCAGGAACCGACTCTGACCGATATGCCAAGCAAAGGGATGCTGTCCTAGATGCATTGACGCTGTGGAGGCGATAGAGAGGCCTTTTGTTAGCTTTTGGAAAAATAGAGGCTGGTCGAAAATTGGTGGCCCGTGTGGCCTTTGAGAATACAGAATTTAGTTCATTGCCAATACTGTTTTTGTTAGTCTGTACGGGCCAAGATGCCCAAGAGTTGACTGTGGGGGAACCTGGGTCCTTACTCAACATAGAGGGCAGAATCTCAATCTCGTTCTCATTGATAGCCAAAACACCGATTCCTGAGTCCGCTGAAGCAATAATGTTAGGTGATCTACAGAAAAGGCAGAAAAATGGAAGACACGGTTAAAGGAACTCGATAGTTTCAAAAATAGGTGAAAAATATCTTGTAAACAATAATGCATATATATTTTTATTTTTTTTATATATATAAATGACTAAATATTTACAACTCTTTGCATATAAATCACATTTTAACGCGCTGACCCGCAAAAAGTAATCTAAAGGATTGTTAATTTTCGCAGTAATAAAGAATGCCATAAAGCCAGCAATCATACCATCTGACTTTTTTTAACTGTTGTAAACGTTGTGGTATCACTCCTAAGTTATGTGACCTTATGAGACCATACCACTTGCATAAGGTTAATGACAATTTCCATCAGGCCTATGATACAGAACAGAATAAGCTGTTTAAGTTTATAGATTTTAAGTCAGCTCCGGCGTGATCTGTCCAGGATCCTATCTCCGGAAGATTTTCAAAAGCTCCAGAGCATGACGGACAAGAAATCACGT